GTTTGCCCCTGCGAACCCGGCCGACGACTTGCGGATCCACCTCGACGGCGTCAAATTCGACGCCCATCAGCTTATCGGCGAGCACTGGAAGGACTCACGCGACATTCGGTTTACCTTGGGTAACGAACCATTGCTGGTAGCGGACGCCGGACAGGACCTCGACGGATCGTTCGACGACTGTGTCATCGACGTTCACTGTCAGCCCTGTCGGCCATGCCCGAGGAGACCGTCACTGACTCTCCCGGCCACGCCCATAAGGTGATGTTGGCCGCCTGGCGCGAAGTCGAGGGGTTAGAAGACCCGGCGCGGGAGCTCGAGGAGCTGGAGAGCGCCGACAGCCGGCAGGATATCTACGCTTCTGTTCGGCGCGCCGCGGCCTGCCATGGCCGCGGGCCCCGCGAGTGGCCCCGGAGCACCCGCGCGCCGTGCCGTTGCGCCCTGCGCGGGGCTTCTTTCTACGACTGCGCCATGCTTGAGGAGGAGGGCGAAGGGTGGAGGCACGTTGAATAGTATCTTGATCCATGGGTGCGCGAGGCGCTCTTCAGCTTGGGCGAGGAAGCGCGGGGCCACGGCGTGGCCGGCGCTCCCTGGACAGCCGCGCTCAACAATCGCGCCGCCGTCGATGCCGCGGTCATCGCGCGCGACGCCGACCTCCTGTCTAACGAAGAGGTGTCGAGGCTGTCCAAAGGGAGGTCGTGGCGGCAACTCTCGAAAAGCTCACCAGCTAGGCCGAGTGCAAATGTTTCGAGATGCGACCGCTCTAGGCTCTAGGGCGCCCGGGGCGCAATGGGCTCCAGGCGCGCCTTCAAGTGCAAGCACCAGAAGGGATCGGTCGGCAAGACTGTCCGGATCATCCGGCGCTGCTGGGCGCTGGCGGGGCTTCCGCGTTTTGGGTGCCGTCGCCGTGGAGGCGTCGAGGCGCCCGCTGTCCTCGGGGGCGGCGCGTCGCCCCGACTGGGCGCGCGTCGCCGCGGCCTTCGAGCGGGCGTTCGTGCGAGACGCGACCTTCGCCGAGATGCGGGAACCAGGCGCAGCGCCCCGCGAGGTGAACCTCGCCCTGCCGCCCAGAGGCGCCGCCTCGCTCCGGCGAGCGCCCAGCTACGAGAGCTGCGACCAGCAGACTAAATGCTTGCGCTGTTTCGAGCCGGGCACGGGCTGCAAGGGTGCGCCCCGAGCCTTCTCCAACAAGCTCGCCCGGGCCACGGGTTTGCAGGAGCGCAGCGCCCAGCCCGCTGGGCATCCCCGGCGCGCGCGGTCGAGCGCGACGCGTTGGGTGCCTGCGACGCCGGCGGCCAGGGCAGCCAGTGTTCAGATTGTCCAAGCATATGGACGTTCTGAGGATCGCCTGACGCGAAGAGCACGTCGATCGGCTGATCAGCCACGCCGGGGGCGCTTTGGCAAAATGAAGGGTGATTCTGATGATTTCACCACTTGCGGGGCGCGCCGGCGCTGCTGCGCCGATGGCGCCGCGGCGCTCGACCGCGACGGGTACATCGACTCTCTGACGCCGACCAGACGCGTCGACCTGGCCGAGGCCAGGGCCTGAAGAGCCGCCCCGAGGTCAGCTTCCATGCCTCTTCGTCTCCTTCCTGGGGGCGGCGGCCTCCGCCCCGCTCGCCCAGCGCCGCATTGCAGCGTGCATTGTCGCCGTGCAGAGAGCCGAGAACAAGCTGCTTGACCGATGCAACTCAGCTCAGTTGTTCTAGCCGCGCCTAGAGGTGCAGGCGTGCGTCGCCTTCCCAGCCGTGGAATGCGATGGGCGACTCAGCGCGCGCAGCGACGGGTCGTTCAAGAGGGAGGAAGAGACAGGGCGCGGCATGAGAGGGGCCGCGTACATGCCCTCGGCAAGGGCCGCCGCGCCAGCAGCCAGGCGCCGCGCGATGAACGCCGTTATCCGATCGTGCAAGCTGGCGTGCAGATCCTCGTTCGGCCCAGTGCTGCTCGCGGCGTGCGGCGCGGCCGACGGACTGCGCGCGCGCGCGTCCTCGCGCTGCGCTGGATGGTGCATGGCCCCGCCTCTGCCGAGCAGATCAGGAGGCTGAGGGGCGAGGGGGGGGGAGTGCGCGATCCCTGCTGATCTCGTTGTCGACGGCGTGTCCGTTCTCGGCGCCTTGCTCGTGGACCTAGCGCGGCCGTCTTCCGATCCGATAACAGTGTTGCAGGCCGCCTGTGGCGGTTAACCGACCAGTTGCGCGCCGAGCGAATCGAGGGCCCACTCTGGCGCGACGCTCGGGACATGCGGGCCGACCCCTATGACCAGGGGCATCGTGGGCCAGGAGGTCTTCCTTAGTATCGTGGGCGGCCAGATCAGCTATGGCGGCGACGCGGTCAAGTTCAGCGACGAGACGAAGAGGGCCGCCCCGAGTTCCCAGCGCATTTTTCCTGCCCAGCAGTGGAGTGGTGACTCGTGGCTGCGTCGCAAGGTCGACCGCCGTAACTCCGCTCATTGGTGCATGGGTCGACCTACCCAGCGGCCAAGAGATCGCCAAATTTCGTTGGCAACCACGGCCAGGCACTCTGCGGAAGTTGAACATTCGCTTGGGTGCTTCTCCAGTCGATTGCGTCATCTAAGCAGCAGGAGGTTGGCCCGTGTTCCGCCGGTAGTCTAGCGCGGGCAGGGAACGCCCATAGCAGGCAAGCTTGAAGGGCGCGGCCAGTAGAGCACCCTAACAGGAGCGTGGATTTTCGCTTAGTGGTTTCCTGTGCAGATTGCGCACCAGAGACCAACGAGGCACGACGGATTCGTTTGAGCGCCAAACTCGAACGGTTGTCTTATTTGTCTCACCCATTTTTTTGCCTGTGCTCTCGCTGCCGTGCTTCCGCGGCCAGTTTCAGCCTGGCCAGGTGACGTGCCCGTCGTAGACGCGATCTTGACACTTCCATTCCGCTGCGCGAAAAACCGAACCTTTCATCCTGTGAGAGAGCGCGTTTCACGGGTGCTCGCCGTGGGAACATTCGCCGGCGCGTTTCGAACCGGGGGGTGGGCCCCCCCAGCGCTCGGCGCCGTCGAGCAGAACCAGGGGGACCCCCCTCCTCCCTGCCCCCCCCCTCGCGAACCAACCCCCCCTCTCAAGCGGGGGGGGCGCCCTCGGCGCCGGCGCCGGCGCCCGCGCCGGCGGCCGCCTGCAGCGCCGACGGCGGGGGCGTAGCGACGATGACCAGAGAGGGCCCAGGGTAGGGGGGGGTTCTAACCCCCCCTCCCTCTCCGCGCCGGCGAAGGCCACGCCGCCGCCGCCGCCGCAAACCACCAAGCCACCACCACCGCCACCACCGCCACCACCACCACAACCACCACAACCCACGACCACCACAACCGCCATCATCACCACAAACCGCAACACCACCACCTTCAAAAACGCCACCACCACCAGCACCACCACAAACCACCACCGCACCACCACCAAACCACCACCGCCACAAACCACCACACCATTACCACCAACATCACCACCGCCGCCACAACCACAACCATCACCACAACCCACCACCACCACCGCCACCACCACCCACCACCCACCACCCACCACCCACCACTAACACCAGCGTCGCTACCAGCACCACCGCCACCGCCAACGCAACAGCCCACCACCACCACCACCACAACGCACCACGCCACCACAAACCATCACCGCCACCACCACTACCACCACCACCACCCACCACCACAACCACCGCCACCACAACAAACCACCACAACACCAAAACAACCACCACCACCTTAACCCACCACCGCCACAACCTACCACCACCACCACCACCACAAACCATCACACCACCACCACCACCAACCACCACCACCACAACCACTTGCACAACAAACCACCACCACCACGCCACCACCATCACCACCGCCACAACCCACCACCACCATCACAACCACTACCACCACCACAACCGCCACGACAAACCCCCATATCACCACCGTCACCACCATCACCACCACCACCACCACCACCTTAACCCACCACCACCACCACCAGAAATCACCGCACCACCACCATCGCCGCCACCACCACCACAACCTGCCACCACAGCCACCACAACAACCACAACCACCACCAACCACACCACCACCACCATCACCGCCACCACCACCACCACAGCCCACCACCATCACCACCATCCCAAAGAGGCCCCAAGAAACGCCCAAGAGGCGCCCAGGCGGCTGCGCAAAAACCCTTCAGAGGTCCCCGAGAGCCCTCCGACGAGACCCCAAAAGGCATCCATTAGGGTTGAGAAGCAAAACCAAGGCACGGTAGCGAAGCGTCGTCGTCGTCGTCGTCATCGTCGCCGTCGTCCTCGTCGACGCTCCCCGCTTCCGCCGCCCGCCGCCGCAGGCGCCGGCGTGGGCCCAGAAAAGGAAGTCGTCGTCCCTGCCACCGCCGCCGCCAGCCGCCGCCGACGCAGGCGCCGGCCCGAGGAGAGGGAGAGAGGAAAAGTAGGGGAGGAGGGGGAGGGGAGGGGGGCGGGGAGGTGGTGGTGGTCCGGTTCCAACCCCGCCCCCCCCCTCCAAGCGACCACAGAACGCGTTTTTTCCTATATCCATTTCTCTAGCATGCTCGCCCTCTTCACCCCCCCGCCACAATTGGAGCAAAGGAATACTCGTTCTCGATGCTGCCAGAATCATGTACAGGGATGGGCCAACGAATCCTGCAAGAAAGCATTGCGTTCTTGTCTCTATTGGGACCCGCCCCCCCGCTTTACCGCGTCCTTTGTGGTCTCGGAGGGCCCGTTTAATTATCCTCGTGCCGAACCACCGCTATTGATCCTGAGCGTGGCTCCTTCTCCCGTTCTGTCTCCTCCCTCCTTCTCCTCCTCCTCCTCCTCCTCCTCCTCCTCCTCCTCCCCCTCCTCCTCCTCCTCCTCCTCCTCTTCCTCCTCCCCCTCCTCCTCCCCTTCCTCCTCTTTTTCTGCGTCATCCCCCCATTTGTCTCTCCATCCTCGTCATATCCCCTCATCACCCTCTTCTCCCATTTCCGCTTTCTCCTGTGCCGCCTGAGGATCGCCAGCGACATCGGCAATGTCGCCCATGGCGTCCGCGGTCCCAGCCACGACGACGACGGCAGCTGGCGGCGAAGAGTTGTCCGAGATGTCTTGCTCCCTTTGGAACAGGTGGGGGTTCGAGATTTTTGGTGTTTCTTTGCCTCGTTCAGGAGCAGTTCTTCGTCGCGGCAAGTTGTTCGGACTCGGGCTTGACCCCCGCTTCTCAAGTGGATGCCGGGCCAGCGGCAGAGCGGAAACATGTTTTTAGGCGAGCTTCCCAGCAGGCGTCGTGTCGTTGGGCAGCGGGCTAATTGGGTGAGTGCAGGGCAAAACGCGGTCGAGGGGATGGGGATGTGAGGGGCGGGAGGGTTGGAGAGGCGAGGGGAGGCGAGGGGAGGCGGGGGGAGGGCAGGGGAGAGGGAGGCGCGGGGGGGTTGACAGGATGGGGATGGGAGGTGCGAGAGGGCTGGGGAGGGCTGGGGAGGGCTTGGATGCGAGGGAAGGCGAGGGGAGGGGAGGGCAGAAGGGGGGATAGCCTCGTAATGGCGCCTCCTCGCTCGCGCACCCTGAGTGCACCTGGCTGGCCCGGGATGCCTCGCGCATATCGTGCTCCTCCCTCCTGGTCCGCTGCCGTTTGCCGCCCTCCTGCTGCGCCTCGCTTGATGCTTCGGCTCGTCACTGTCGCACGGCGTCCCCCTTTCTCGTTTCCCCCCCTTTTTCCCGCCCGCTTCTCTCCTTCTTTTCCCCTCGTCCCCCTCTCCCCTCCGCGACTGCCCCCTCGCGAGTCCCTCGCGAGTGTTGCCGTATGGGCTGACCCGCGCCCTCCCGCCTGATTTCACTTGCGCCGCGCCGCCGAGCGCGTGACCGCGACGCCGAAAGGATGTGTGTGTGTAGATGTGGGCGCGGTGGCTCTCGGCCCAGACCTCCGACGCGTTTTTCCAGAGTTTTCGGCGGTCCTCGCTGTTTCCTTGCGGTTCTCTCGCTTCGGGATGTTTTCCAGCAGCTGCGCCTCGCCGAGGTCGTCCACGGGGGGTCTGGGTCGAGTCGAGCGGCCGCCAGGGGCCCGAATGACGATGCGACCGCCCAGATCTCCGACGATCATTTCTTTTCAGCCCTGACATTATTCCTAGACTGCGGCGCCCAGGGCCTGTGATTGGGGCCCGCCCGGGACCATCCAAAACGGATTTGGGTCGGAAAAGTGCCCCTGAGGGACGGGGGTCGCGACCCCTGGGGCCGCGCACTCAAGCAACCACGTCTGGCGGATGTCTGGGGGGCAGCCGACGAAGATTCTCAACACTTGAAGCGATTTTTTCGGCCCAGGAGGTCTCAAGATGGCCCAGAAGGACCCCAAGATGGCCGAAGATGCCCCCAAGACGGTTCAAGATAGCTCCAGGACGGTCTAAGAGAGGCCCAGGATGCCCCAAGACGGCTCAAGAGCGCTCCACGAGGGGCGACGATGGCCCCAAGACGGCCTCAGAGGCCCCCCAAACGGCCCAAGAGGCCCCCACGAGGATCTCCAAGAGGGATTCAGGAAGGAACAACCATACATGTTCCTTAGGTGTTGGACGGATTTTTGGGCTTGCGTTTTTTCTGACCAAAAGCTGTCAAAGACAGCCCTGGAGGCCTCCGAGAATGCCCCAAAACGTTCCAAGAGGGCCTATAGACGGGCCAAGAGAGCCCCACGATGGCCAATGGAGGGCCCCATAGAGCCCCAAGAGGCTCCCATGAGAGCTCCAAGACAACCACATGAGGCTCTCAAGAGCTCCCCAAGAGCCCCCCAAGCCGGCCGAAGCCCCCCAAGACGGTCCAAGAGGACCCCGAGACGGCCCAAGAGGACCCCAAAGCACTCAAAAAGGGCCCCCTGGGGACACCCCCTGCACGGCCCAATGACGGACGCAGCTTTGATGCCAAGACTACCAAGAGGACGAAGTGATTGGAAAGCCCTTTTACACAAGCTGGTGACGTAAACAGCTTTGAACGCCCAGGGTCCCAAGAGCGAGCAGTGACGTAAGCGGCTCTTAACTCGGGATGGCGTAAACAACTCTTCACACCAAGGCTCCCAATTGCGAGCGATTGCGTATAAAGATCTGAACGCCAAGGCTCTCAAGAGCGAACGATGACGTGAAACAGGTCTCCACACGAAGGCTCAAAGAGTGAATGGTGACGTGAAAAAGCTCTGAACGCCAAAGATCTCAAGAGCGAACGGTGCCATGAGCCCTCTCGGGCAAGTTCTTGAAGCTCTCTTTCGGTTCCCGTGCCCTCTCAGGTTCTAACACGCCCTCTGGGAATACGGCCCGGTGGTAGAATATTTTTTTTGACTGGAGGGTTGGCCTGCGTGCAGCAAGCAATTTGAGGCCCCCCCCGCCGTCCCTGTCAAGATCCAATGCAGAGTCGTCGCGGGGCTCTCGCACATGCTCCAGGTTCGCAGACGAAGTGTATTTTGTATACCGAAGACGCCTACGGCGAATCACCGCCGCCTCCTGCCTTTTTTTGAAGCGCCTATGTGGCCGAACGTTGAGGCCAGACCTGCCAAGCTATCGGACCATGTGTTCCCCGAATCGGTTTGGAAAGCCTTCGGGGAACACGTGGGCATCTTGAAGGTCATCTTGGCCGCCTGGAGGCCATTTTGACCTTTTCGGGCCTTCTTGGAGGACGTCTTGGAGGGCTCTTGGGCCGTCTCAGAGGCCATCTTGAGCGTCTTGGAGGCCTCTGCGGCCGTCTTGGGGACCTCTTGGGGCCGTCTTGGGCCTCTTGGGCGATCTTTGGGGGCACTTGGGCCGTCTCGGGCCGTCGGAAGGCCGAAAAAGAGCAAATGCCACAATCCTTCAACACCTACTTGGAAATCAATGATTTTGGCCTTTTCGGGCTTCCTGGGGCCCTCTTGGAGGCCTCTTGGACCGTCTTGGGCCATCTCAGTGCCATCTTCGGCCGTCTTGGTGGGCTCCTGGCCCGTCTGACGCCGTCGGAAGCCGTTTGGGGGGCCTCTCTGAGCAGACTTGGGGCCCTCTTGGAATACTCCAGGGCCGTCTAGGAGGCCATCTTGGGCGTCTAAGCCTCCTGGGCCGTCTTGGGGGCCTCTTGGGGCCGTCTTGGGGGCCTCTTGGGCCGTTCTGTTCAAGTGGCCTTTTGTTTTGTGTCGTGCCAAGGGCGCACGGCCCGATGCGGCTGACCCTCAGGGCAGGCATCCGTGTGCATACCCCACATCTGGGGCGAGGCCTGCCGTCGTCCTGGCGCTCGCTGCACCTGGGGCGGCAGGTCTCGTCGTCCTTGTGTAGGTGGTCGATTTTGGCTTTTCCTTTTTGGTGGCTATTCCGCCCGCCACTTTGCGTTTTCTCATTCCGACTGGCGGTGCAGGTTACGCAGCCTGTCCCAGTACCCGAGCCTTGGGGTACCGCCAGCCTGTCGAGTGTGTGCGGTGTGTGTGTGTGTGTGTGTGTGTGTGTGTGTGTGTGTGTGTGTGCGCATGCGTGTATGCCCTGCACGCGTGTCAGGCACCCCGCCTCAAAGGGAAGGCGCGCCGCACACTTCTTTCTCCCTCCTCTCGGCGGTGCTGGTTACGCTGCCAGCCTTGTACCCGGGCCTTGGGGCACCGTCGAGGTGGAGGGATCTCAGGGAACCCCGAGCACGGGGGTGGACGCAGGTCCGCCCCGACCGTGGCTCTACCTTTCTCGGTGCTGCTGCGGCCCAGGACGCAATGCCACACCTGGCCGCAGCACCGTTCTGCGTCGGCAGCGCACTGGCTGCCCTTCGCCGCCCGCTCGATTGCACAGTGTCGATCGGGTTGGCTGCACCTGCGCTTTCGCGCTCTCCAGTCAAAAAAGCCTCTTGGGCCGTTCTGGGGCCATCTTGGAGGCCTCTTGGGCGATCTTTGGGGGCTCTTGGGCCGTATCGAGCCGTCGGAAGGCCGAAACGAAGCACATGTCAAAATCCTTCGAAAGCTTAAGGGGAATTTTGTGTGTTTTGCCTTTTCTGGCCGCCTTGGGGGCCCTCTTGGAGACCTCTTGGGCCGTCTTGAGCCAGCTTCGAGCTAACTTCGGCCATCTTGGTGGGCTCCTGGCCCGTCTGACGCCGCCGGAAGCCGTTTGGGGGGCCTTTCTGGGCCGACTTGGGGCCCTCTCGGGGTGCTCCTCCAGGGCTGTCTTAGAGGCCATCTTGGGCGTCTTGGAGGCCTCTTGGGTCGTCTTTGTGCCTTCTTGGGGCCGTCTTGGGGGCCCTGGGGCAGTCCTGAGGCCATTTTGGAGGCCTCTTGGGCGCTGTGGGGGCGATCTTGGGGGCCTCTTGGGCCGTCTTGGGTCGTCGGAAAGCCGAGAAGAAACGAATGGGAACATCCTTCAACAACCGTCGGAAAATCAGTGATTTTAGCCTCGCCGGGCCCTCCTGGAGGACCTCTTGGAGGCCTATTGGGCCGTCTTGGAGGCCTCTGGGGGGCCTCTTGGGCCGTCTTGGGCCGTCTTGAACTCTTTTGGGCCGTATGGGAGGCCGTCTTGGACCATCTTGGGCGGACTTGGAGGCCATCTTGGACCATCTTGGAGGTCATCTCGGGCCAACGTGGCCATCTTGGCGGCCATCTTGGGCCATCTTGAACGAACAATTATGCAAATTGCGGGCCTTCCGGATGGCTGGCGGGACGGGCCTCAGCCCCAGGGGGAGTTTCGTTTTGGAAAACTAGCCAAAACCAAAACCGAAAGGGTCCAGCACGCCAGGCGCCCCTGCGATGAATCGACAGGGGGCGGCGGATCGAAGACGCCTACGGCGAATCACCGCCGCCCCTGCCTTTTTGGAAACGCCGATGTGGCCGAAAGTTGGACTAGAGCTTGGCCAAGCTATCGGACCATGAGTTCCCCGAGTCGGTTTGGAAAGCTTTCGGGGAACACATGGGAGAGAATGATTATGAACAGGAAGAGGAAGAGGAAGAAATAGAGTAGGAGGATGAGGGTTGTTAGGAGTCTCTTGGGGCACCCTTGGGGTCTGTTGGGGGCTTCTTGGGGGCCTCTTCGAGGCCTCTTGGAGGCATCTTGGGGGCCTCCTTGGGCCTCTTGGGGGCCTTTGGGGGCTTCCTGGGGGTCTCTTTGGCCGTCTTAGGGCGTTCCTGGTCCGTCTGACGCCGTCTGGAGCCGTCTTGGGGGCCTCTCTGGGCCGTCTTGGGGCCCTCTTGGGGCGCTTCAGGGCCGTCTTGGAGGCCATGTTGGGCGTCTTGGAGGCCTCTTGGGCCGTCTTGGGGCGCTCTTGGGGCCGTCTTGGGGGGCCCTTGGGCCGTCATAGGGCCTTCTTGGAGGCCTCTTGGGCGATCTTGGGGGCCTCTTGGGCCGTCGGAAGGCCGAAAAGAAGAAAACGCAAAAAACCTTCAAAAACCTAAGGAAAACCAATGATTTTGGCCTCTTCGGGCTCTCCTGGAGAACGTCTTGGAGGCCTCTTGGGCCATCTTGGAGGCATCTTGGGGCCATCTTGGCCGTCTTGGAGGGCATCTTGGGCCGTCTTGGAGGCATCTTGGAGCCATCTTACCCGTCTTGGAGGCCATCTTGGCCGTCTGGGAGGCATCTTGGAGGCCATCTTGGGCCATCTTGGCCGTCTTGGAGGCCATCTTGGGCCAAGTTGGGGCAACAAAGGCATTGACAGACGGATTTTGGGAAAATTACGGGTGGCCGGCGGGACGGGCCGAAGCCCACTGGGGAGTTCTTTTAGAAAAAGAACCAAAACCAAAACCTGAAACATCCAGCACGCCGTGCACCCCTGCAAGCAGGGGGCGGCGGATGCTAGTGGCCTTCGGCCCATCCCGCCACCGTGCCTGGGTTGTGGGTTAGAGGCCTCTTGTATGTTCGTTGGGATATCGTGGGAGGCCTTTAGGGGGTCTCCCTGGAGGCAGTTATGGGGCCTCCCGAGGGCCGTTCGGGGGCCTCTGTTTGGGCATCTTGGGGGCGTCGTGGGGCCTTTTGGGGGCCTTTTGGGCGTCTCTTGGGGCCTCTTTGAGGCCTCTTGGGGCCTCCTGGGGGCCTCTTGGGGCGGAAAACTCGAATTGTCGGTTTGTGTTCCTCCTCTTGGGGCAGTCTTGGGGCTCTCTTGGGCGGTCTTGGGTAGGTGCCTCTTGGGCCGTTTTGGGGCCCACTCGGGCCGCTTTAGGCCCTCCCTCTTGGGGGCCTTTTGGGCCGTCTTGGGGCGGTCTTGGCTTCTGGGGCCATCTTGGAGCGTCGGAAGCCCGAAACGCGTGAACGCGAAACACATTTAACAGCACAATGAAAATCAATGATGCTTGCCTCTTTGGGCCTTCTCGGGGGTCCTCCTGGAGCGCTCTTGGGGCTTCTTTGGGGCCTACTAGGCCGTCTTGGGGCCATCTTGAGAGTCTTGCGGCGCTCTTGGGCTGTCGTGGAGGCCTCTTGGGCGCTTTTTGGAGCCCCCTTGGCCCGTCTGGGGACCCTCCCGCCTATGGGGAAATCCACGCGAGGACGCCCAAAAGCGTGCAGGAGCGCCAAGAAAATCAGGATATCTCGGGCCCCAGCCCCTAGAATACAGGACTCAGGACAGAGAACCCTTGAGAGCCTGAGGACACTCCACTCCGTGCCTCGAGGCACGGTGGCAGATTTTGTTGTGATAGGAATGGATGGCTCGCGCGCAGCAAGCAACACGAGGGCTTCTCTGACGTCCCTGGCAAAAACCATTGCACGGTGGTCGCGGGGCGCCCGCGCATGCTCCAGATTTGGGAGGCACAGTGTGTTTTGTGATGTGTTGTGCAGGGGTGGAAGATGTTGGAGAGGTGTTGGATGGGGACGGGTTGGCTGCCGGTGGCCTGGGGGAGGGGGTGCTGATTGATAGGGAGAAGTGGTCAAGACATTTTTCCCAGACGCAAGATGTTTGTTTCACTCCCACCCGCCCTTCCAACACATCAAGTATTAGCTGAGTCTCAGCATATTCAGCGGTCGTCTGTGGATGGGCAGAAACTGGGAACCAATACAGACCCCAAGTGCGGTAAACCCTTCCTCGAATAGGAAGAAGGGGGAGTTGGGAGAGACACCCCGCCAAACCATCTTCGCTCAGGGCTGGCGGGATCCACTTGGCCCCAAAAGCTCGACCCGTTTCCAGATTCGAGCCTCGGCGGCTACGGAAGGCGCAACAAAAATTCGCTTGCATGCGCACTTGTCTCGAGCAAGCCTGGCCTTCGTCCCCCTGCCTGCTCCTTCCCGCTGCCCCCCCCGCCGGCGCGCCAGGCCACGCCCTGCTCGGCCATCGCCCGGCTGTCGCTGTCGCCAGCCCAGGGGTCGGCCCCCCCTCTCCTCTCGGGGAGGGCGTTGCTGCGTGGCTCGATGGCTCGAGGTGTGCGGACGTCGTCGTCCGCGCTCGGCGGTCTTCCAGCGCCGGGGTGCCTTCCAGCAGCTGCGCCTCGCCGAGAGGCGTCTGGGGGTTTGCCAGGATCGTCGCGAGCGGCCGCCGAAGACCCGAGCTGACCCGAAAGCCGGACGACGAGGATCCTTTGGAGGGGGGGCAGGCTCAGGGGGCGATGCGTCGACCTCCAGTCCCGGTAGTCCTGATAGCCCCTCCTCCTCCTCCTCCTCCTCCTCCTCCTCCTCCTCTTCACCCTCCTCCTCCTCCTCCTCCTCCTCCTCCTCCTCCTGATCCTCCTCCTCCGCCTCCTCCTCCTGATCCTCCTCCTCCTCCTCCCCCTCCTCCTCCTCCTTCTCCTCTTCCTCCTCCTCCTCCTCCTCCTCAGCGTGGCGACTGGCGCCTGCGTGCACCACACTATAGATGTACACCACAGGGCCGCGTACATTCCGAGGGTCTGGACGATGCCTATAAACCGAAACACGTGGTCGGCGGGGGGGGGCGCGAACGTATCAAATTGAATCTGCAAGTTTGTTGTGGGCATTGTTTTTTGACCGCCTGGATAACTCTTGCAAGTTTTTGAGCTGCGTGCGGCCGCGGCGACGAAGATTTCTCCAGAGGGAAAGGACCCTTGGCGCCTCGACTTCACTTGCGCCGTGGCTTCCTCCGAATTGGCCCTGGCCCAAGACGCCCGCGAGAGGGCTCCGACGCGGCTCAAGACGGCCCCAGGACGCCCGAAGAAACGCCAAAGACTGCCCAAGGGGCTCCCGAGAGGGGGACCACCAACCGACAGTTCGCGCATTTCCCCCCAAGACGCCCCCAGGAGGCCCCAAAGGGCGCCCAAGAAGCCCTGTAAGAGTTCCAAGATAAACCTGAGAGCGCGCCCAAGTGGGCCCCAAGAGGCTCAAATCCCCCCTTCCCCTTATTGCCCGCCGCATCTGCCCGTCGCCCTCCTCGTCCTCTTCGTCCTTGTCCTCCTCGTCCTCGTCCTCGTCCTCGTTCCCGTCCTCCTCCTCCTCCTCATCCTTCTCCTCCCATCCCCCCTCCTCCTAGCGCTCAGGGTCGGCGGCACCAGCCGGAAATCCTTCCCAGTAAGTTGGTCACTGCGTTGTCACAAGGTGGCCACTGCGCCGTGGTCCGCGATGGTAGCACAGGAATTGCTCAAGAAGTTGCGGCGCACCACAATCACCGGAGCATCGCTCGCCACGTAGCAGCTAACGAGAAAGAACAAACTCTGCGCACCCCAGTGCCTGCGTACGACTGTACCTTTGTGCCTGTGTGCGCCGCCAGCGTGTACATCACAGTGCCCGCGTACACCACAAAGCTCGCGTACACCTCCAGGTGCCCGACGGTGTCAAACTTCAACAAAACATGGCCGGCGCGCACGCATCAAATTCAGTCTGCAAGCTGTTTGTTCCACATATCCTACGATGGGGTTCTTGTTATTACTTGGACGCCTCCTACTCCTTCTTCTCCCTCTTCTCCGTCTCCTCCTCATACCCAGACTTAATCACACTCAGATTTACTCATACCCAGACTTACTCAGACACAAACTTACTCATACTCAGACCTACGCATACTCAGACCTACTCCGACTCAGAGTTACTCATGCTGAGACTCACTCAGGCCCAGACTAACTAATACTCAGACTTGTTCCCAGACTTACTCATACTCAGCCCTGCTCGTACTCAGACCTTTTCACTGTCTGATTTATTCCATACACAGAGCAGATTGTGAGGATGTCTCAGGCGGGGCGCTGGCTTCAGCCCCCCTAAGGGGAGCCGCCAGGGGTGTTTTCACGGTCCCGTTCGCAGCAATTTTGTGGGGACGTCTCAGGCGGTTTGCTTGTTTTCTGTCCCAACATCCTTGGCTATCCGAGCAGATTGTGAGGATGTCTCAGGCGGGGCGCTGGTTTCAGCATCCCTGGGGGGGCCGCCAGGGGTGTTTTCACGGTCCCGTTCGCGGCCGTTATGTGGGGATGTCTCGAGCGGTTTGCTTGTTTTCTGTCCCAACATCCTTCGCTTTCGGAGCAGATTTGCAGGATGTCTCGAGCGAGGCGCTCATTTTCACGTCCCTAAGGGGAGCCGCCGAGGGGTATTGCACAGTACCGTTCGCGGCCGTTTTGTGTGGATGTCTCAAGCGGTTTGCTTGTTTTTTGTCCCAACATCCTTCGCTGTCGGAGCAGATTTGGAGGATGTCTCGAGCGAGGCACTCATTTTCAATTCCCAGGTGGGCCAGATTTTGAGGATGTCTCGATCGGTTTGCCTGTTTTGGTGGCCAGGCTCGTGGGCGCAGATTCTTCTCAGGATGCCACAGGAGGCTCCAACAGGCTCCAGGAGGCCCCAGGAGACCACATGAGGTCCCAGGAGGCATCAGGAGGCCACAGAATGACTCGAGAGGCCACAGGATGTCCCAAGAGGCTCCAGGAGGCCCCAGGAAGCTCCAGAAGGCCTCAGGAAGCCACAGGAGGCCCCAGGAGGCCACGGGAAGCGCCAGGAGGCCTCGGAAGGCAATAGGAGGCCCCGAGAGGCCCCAGGAGCAGGAGGCCTCAGAAGGCAACAGGAGTGGCTCCAATCCCATGTGCATTACGTATGCTCCTATCGATTGGGCCTCACTTGGAGCACGATTCCTTGATTCCCTACCTAGGCCCTGCCTAGAAGGATTCTTACTCGGTAAGCTTAAAGGCCGGGCAGTGGGGCCCGCCCCGGGCGGTTCCCCCAGTATCCGCCCCGCGGTTCCCCCAATTACGTCCCTTTAACTTAGCGTTGCTTATCTCATCTTAGCTCAGCTTATTTCATCTTAGCTTAGCTTATATTCATCTTAGCTCAGGTTTATCTTAGCTAACTTACCTTCATCTTAGCTTCGCTGAGCTTTAGCATAGCAGAGCACAGCATAGCATAGCGTAGCATAGCATAGCGCAGCATCGCATATCATAGCATGGGTGTAAGTTTCGTCTTCAGAAGTACTTCGATTCCTGCGGATTTCTTATGATTCCTTAGGATCCCTTAGGATTCCTTAGGATTTCTTAGGATCCTCAGGATTCCTTGGGGTCTTTGGGATTTCTTAGGATCCTTAGGATCAGGATTCCTCCATATTCCTGCAGGAATCCTTAGGAATATTTGGGAATCCATAGGGATCCTGAGACATCCTTAGGGGAAGGGGGCGCTTTGGGGGCCTTCTTGGGGTCTCTTTGGGCCACTCCTAGGGCCCTCCTGGGGCCCTTATTGATTTTTCTTGGCGCCCAAAAGAACCCTAGAAGGGCCAACTTTCGAGGGCTGCAGGGGGCCCCAGCAGAGTGACGTCCTATGGGCCTATGGGAGCTCAGATTGGACCTCGCCATCCCTGGGGGGGATGGGGGGTGCTGCGATCTGCGAAACTGTCGCCACTTTCGAGGGGTGCTGGTGGGTCCAGTGGACTGGCGTCCTACAAGGGGCCTTAAAAGAGCCCGACACAGCCGCAAGAGGGACAAACAACCGAAACATATTTTATGTTTCGGAAGGGGGCGGGAAGAACAACCGAGGCATATTTTATTGTTCGGAAGGGGGCGCTTTGGGGGCCTTCTTGGGGTCTCTCTGGGCCACTCTTAGGGCTCTCTTGGGGCGTTCTTGGCGCCCTCCTGGGGCCCTTATTGACTTTTCTTGGCGCCCAAATAAGGCCTAGGCCATCTTGGGCCATCCATCTCCAAGAGGGCCGCTGGGGGACTCCGAGAGGGCTCCAAGAGGTCCCCCAGGGGTGCATAACAACCGCTTCGAGTTATATACGCCACGGGGAGCTTCTTGGGGGCATCTTGGGACCCTCTTGGAGGGCACCTGGAGCCGTCTTGGGGCCCTCTTGGGGCCATCCGAGGGCCCTGGGGAAGGTCCAGGAAAGCACCGAGAGGGCTCCAAGAGGCCACCTCAGTGGGTGCATAACAAGAGCCTCGAGTTATATACGCCACGGGGGGGCTTCTTGGGGGCATCTTGGGGCCCTCTTGGGGGCCGCCTGGAGCCGTCTTGGGGCCCTCTTGGGGCCCTCCAAGGGCGCTGGAGAGGGCCCACGAGGGTCTCAAGAGGACACCAAGGCGGCTCCAAGGGGTGCATAACAAGAGCCTCGAGTTATATACGCCACGGAGAGGCTCTCGGGGGCCTCTTGGGACTCTCTAGGTGGCCGCTTGGAGCCGCCTTGGGGCCCTCTTGGGGCCCTCCGAGGGCACTGGGGATGGTCCAAGAGGGCCCATCTTCCCCCGAGGAGCCATATCGGGGCCATCTCAGGCCAGCTTGGGCAGCATAGCATAGCATAGCATATCATAGCATTGCATATCATAACATAGCGTCGCATAGCATAGCGCAGCATAGCTTAGCATAGCATAGCACATCAGAGCAGAGCATAGCGCATCATAACATAACATTTCATGTCATAGCATAACTTAGCGAAGCATAACACAGCGCAGCATATCATATCATATCATATCATCTCATAACGTATCATATCATATCAATTCATAGCGCATCATATCATATCATACCATATAGCAAATCATAGCGCATCATATCATATCACACCATATCATAGCATACCATAGCGCAACATATCATTTCATAACATATCATAGCGCAGTATATGATACCATATCATAGCCTATCATATCATATCATAGCGCAGCATATCACGGCACACCCTAGCGCAGCACATCATAGCATAGTATAGCATAACGCATCATATCATATCATATCATAGCCTGGCGTAACATAGCGCAGGGACAATGCATATGTAGGTGTAGATGTAGGTGCAGATGTAGATGTAGATGTGAGTCTCGCTGTTGATGTAGATGTAGATGCAGGTGTAGATGTTAATGTAGCGGTCGGTGTAGATGAATATGTTGCTTCCCTAGATGCTCCAACTCCTAGGTAGGGCCGCACTGGGATAATGTTATACGTATGTTTCTATAGATTGTCCTTC